CTGTTATAAATTTTTGGCCGAATTTGATTTTTCCTTGGGTTGTTAGCATTTTTGGAGGTTGCCAATCTATTGTCGTGAATTTTGGGCCGGAATAAATAATTTGCTCTCCCTTGCATTGCAGCAGGTGGTCAGTGGTTTGCATTGCAGCAGGTGGTCAGTGGTTTGCTCTTCTCCACACTTGCATGTCGTGGATTCTATTTTGTAGCTCCATTTCTTAAGGTTGGCTCTGCATCTTGTTGTGCCAGATAGCAGCCTGTTCAGCGCCTTCCTTCCTAATCACCCAGTCTTCTGTGTGCCCAGGGGGGAGTCTCTCATTCGGCATCAGCCACTGATTGAAGTGCTGGGTTTAAGCCTGCCACTTTTGGACTCTTGCTTGTTGAGGTGTTCCTGCAAGTATCTTTGTAGAGCTTAGAAAACTATTTCTTGATATAATTCATGTTTTGTCTAAATATTTCATGGACAGAATCACTGGGGTGTTGTGTGGTTCTAGCAGCATTTTCTCCTGATGTTTCGCCTGCATCTGTGGCTAATGGCACTTTCAAAGGATCATAATTGCTATTTTTTTACTTGAGAAAACACCTCTCTAGGAACTAGAAGCGGACCGTAAAATTGTACTGATTCAGTCTTCTCCTTAGTGGTAAATATCCACTAGTATTCATACAAGGCAAATTAGGCTTCTCACCTGTTAGACTGATATACCTGGTTATCTCTCTGAACTGTTAGGAACAAAGACATGCCAATGCATAAAATATAGAGCAGATCTTCAGAAGTGTTGTTTTAGTTGCCTAAAATATATGTACTCTCCTTCTAATCGTGCTCTCAAGAGACCAAAAGTTAACTTCGTTAAAAGTTAACATAGTTGATTTTGTTACAAACTGCATGTTTTTAGCATACAGGTGTATTGCTTATTGGTTTCATGAATTATACTTATAACTGTACTATGCTGTACTACACTTCCAATTCACTGTACTATACATCTGCTGCAAACAGACTCCTATATTAACCGAACATCTCACTGCCGCATACTGACTATACTCCTACTCTAACTGACATCAACCGATTCAACCGACTTCTAACTCAAACCTCAACTGACTTCTAACTAACTTAACTGACTCCATTACTCTGAACATTCTAAGATTTGGGTTACATGGTCAGTAGCCCCTCCCACAACTTCTAACAACATAGAGTTAAGGGGAAAACTCCATACCAACATATACACACAATACCATAAGCAATCTGAATTGCATACATAACAAATAACTAGTATAGGAGGCTTGTAGAAGGTTGCTATTTCCAACAAGACATGTGTTTAGCCTAAAAGAACGTATAACGTGAGGCAAGTCTCCAAATCACCCATGATCATCCTTTGCGTTGTCCAGTCGCTGGCAGGTGGCTTTTCCTGAACAGGCACTAGATTAGTAAGCAGTGAAGAATGGCTTCGCATGAGTTAAGGCAAGGCTAATGCTGTTGTGTTTAGTTAGTGTCTGGCCCATGTAAACAACGCCTTTTCTGGTCTCTCTTCACAGGTAGCAACAACAGCATCTTTGCTCCTGTCCTTCTGCCACAATCAAGTGAGTATGCCAGCGGCCCCTGCCCAAACCCACAAGCCTTTTGAACAAGGGGGCACACACAATCACAGGCCTGGCAAACTTTCTAACTTGGGAGCCACACACTAGCACTCCCTGCTAGGAGGACTGGCTGCCCGGAAAGATATGGAAGGAGAAAGAGGGATGCAAGGAGGAAGGAAAGACAAAAGGGAGGGAAGGAAGGATGAAAGGGTGGAAGGGAAGGGAGGGGAGGGGAGGGAGGGAGGGAGGGAGGGAGGATGGCTGGATGGATGGATGGATGGATGGATGGGAAAGAGGAAAGAAAGATAGAAGGAAGAAAGGATGGAAGGGAGAGAAGGAAGAAGGGAGGGAGGGAGAGAAGGATGGAAGGAAGGAGAAAGAGAAGGAAGGATGAAAGGGTGGAAGGGAAGGATGGAAGGAAGGATGGAAGTGTGGAAAAGAAGGAAGGGAAGGGAGGGAGGAAGAGAAGGATGGATGGATGGATGGATGGATGGATGGAAGAAAAGGCAGGAAGGAAGAATGAAAGGGTGGAAAGGAAAGAAAGGAAGGGAGGGAGAGAGGAAGAGAAGGATGGATGGATGGGTGGAAGGAAGGAAGGGAGGAAGGAAGGAAGGGGGGAAGGGAAGAAGAGAAGGATGGAAGAGGGAGGATGGATGGAAGGAAGAAGGGAAATGGGAAGGAAGGAAGGAAGGATGAAAGGGTGGAAGGGAAGGGAAGGAGGAAGGAAGGAGGAAGGAAGGAAAAAGAGAAGAAGAAGGATGGAAGGAAGGAAAAAAGAGAGGAAGGAAGGAAGAGGAAGGGTGGAAGGGAAGGAGGAGGGAGGAAGAGGAAGAAAAAGAGAAGGAAGAAGGATGGAAGGAAGGAAAAAAGAGAAGGAAGGAAGGACAGACGGAAGGGTGGAAGGGAGGGATGGGAAGGAAGAAAAAAAGAGAAGGAAGGAGAGGAAAGGAGGGGGGAGGGAAGGAAGGAAGGAGGAGGGAGGGAGGGAGGGAGGAGGGAAAGAGAAGGAAGGACGAAAGGGTGGAAGGAAGGGATGGGAAGGAGGGAAGGAACAAGGAAGGAAAAAAGGGAGGAGGAAGAGAAGGATGGAGAGGAGGGAAAGGAGGAAAGAGAAGGAAGAAGACGAAAGTGGAAGGGAAGGAAAGAAAGACAAAGGGAAGGAAGGAGGGAGAAGAGAAGGAAGGAGACAAAAAGGGGGGTGGAAGGGAAGGAGAAAGGGAGGGAAGGAGAAAGAAAGAAAGAGAGAGAGAAGGAAGGGCCTGAGAAAAGAGTCCAAGGGGCCACATCCAGCCCCTGGGCCTGGGTTTGCCCATTCCTGTACTATCAGATCACTTTACTCCTGTGTGCAGGGTAAGAAACCAATTATGTTGTTTTCTTCTGTGATAAAGAGCCTTGTCTTTTGAAAATGGAAAACAAAAAAAAAGATATTTACATTTTCTTAATTCTTTGCTCAAGTCTTTTAAAGTCTTACTCTGTGTGACAGAGATTGTTTTTCTGCTAGTTTGTTTTGCTAAAAGGATGGGCCGAACCTTAGACGCCTGCAGACGGGAAGGACTGAAAGGGCCCGTCCTCCTTCTCTGCCAATGCAGGAATCCCTGAGAGGCCTCCTTGTAATATTAGCCCACTGGTCCAGATCCTATTTCTGCAGAGCAACAGAAAATAAGCTTAACCCACCTTCTGCAAAACACCCCCTCGGATATTTGATACACACACGCTGCATTCCTCCATCAGAAATGCTGAAATAGTGCAGGTTTTTTTGACTCAGGATTGTATTGTCGAAGGCTTTCATGGCTGAAATCACTGGGTTGTTGTAGGTTTTCTCGGGCTATATGGCCATGTTCTAGAGGCATTCTCTCCTGACATTTCGCCTGCATCTATGGCAAGCATCCTCAGAGGTAGTGAGGTCTGTTGCAACTAGGAAAATTGGGTGGAATGACCAGGGTGGGGCAAAGAACTATTGTCTGTTGGAGCTAGGTGGGAATGTTTCAACTGACCACCTTGATTAGCATTTGATGGCCTGGCAGTTTTTTGGTGTGGCCATTGAAATCCATAAGCATGTGGACAATTTCAACAGAAAGGAGGAAACCATGAAAATGAACAAAATCTGAATACCAGTATTAAAAAACTCTAAAATTACAACAGCAAAACAACAGAGAGGAAACAGTCTGGGACATCTAATCACCTCTCAACAAAAGATTGCCCCAGGCACAAACAAGCCACACCAAACAACTGCCAGGCCTTTAAATGCTAATCGAGGTGGTCAGTTGAAACATTCACCCCTAGCTCCAACAGACAAGAGTCCATTGTCCCACCCTGGTCATTCCACAAATATATAAACCCAATTTTCCTAGTTCCAACAGACCTCACTACCTCTGAGGTTGCTTGCCATAGATGCAGGCGAAACATCAGGAGAGAATGCCTCTAAAACATGGCCATACAGCCCGAAAAACCTACAACAACCCAGTGACTCAGGATTGTTGGGAAGAAAATGCAGTCAGTGATGAAGAAGAGCAGCAGAATATTAATCTGCTCTCTTTTCATTCTTTCTCACTCCCTCCCTTGTGTTTTGCAGAAACATTCTTCAGTTCATGTGGGAGTCTGCATAAACTGAGCGAAGAGACCCTGGTGCCTCCTCCTCTACCACCGCGCAAGAAGATGGATCAGGATCCTTCAAACTCAAAGGTAGATCTCCTGCCCGAGAGAATCTGGCTGGGAAAACGCGCTTGTAGGCCGTGAACAGAACAGGGATCTCGGGGCCACGTGAGATTTAGCTTCTTCTCTCCTTGGCTCTCTTATTTATTAGCTACGTTTATATTACATCATTCTCCCACTGGGTTCTATGTGCTGTGCACCTCACCTCACAACAAGGGGATTGGTGCAGATAGTGGAAATGTGCTTTTTTGAGGTTATTTTTCTCTCATTTTGCTAGAACATTTAAGCCCACTGAGTTAGATTAAGTGGTACAGGGTAAGCATCCCTTCTAATCCTCAAAAATCCACAAGTGTCCACACAGTTAGCTTTTTTATTTGTCGTGTCAGGGCAACCAGTCAATTATATTACATTTCTAACAGAACAAAGCAAACAAACAGACAAAATACAAAATTTGTGAGTTTGGTAATTGATTAAATGTCCTTTGACCAGTATCTGGCCACTTGGAGTGCTTCTGGTGTTACTATAAGAAGGTCCTCCATTGTGCATGTAGCAGGGCTCAGGTTGCATTGCAGCAGGTGGTCAGTGGTTTGCTCTTCTCCACACTCGCATGTTGTGGATTCCACTTTGTAGCCCCATTTCTTAAGGTTGGCTCTGCATCTCGTGGTGCCAGAGCGCAGTCTGTTCAGCGCCTTCCAAGTCGCCCAGTCTTCTGTGTGCCCAGGAGGGAGTGTCTCATTTGGTATCAGCCATGGATTGAGGTGCTGGGTTTGAGCCTGCCACTTTTGGACTCTCACTTGCTGAGGTGTTCCAGCGAGTGTCTCTGTAGATCTTAGAAAACTATGTCTAGATTTAAGTTGTTGACATGCTGGCTGATACCCAAACAGGGGGTGAGCTGGAGATGTCTCTGCCTTGGTCCTTTCACTATTGGCTGCTACTTCTCGGCGGATGTCAGGTGGTGCAATACCGGCTAGACAGTGGTGTAGGGCGCAGACACCCCATGATAATGCAGCATGTCTCATGAAGAGCCACATCCACTGTTTTAGTGTGGTGAGATGTGTTCCACACTGGGCATGCATACTCAGCAGCAGAGTAGCAGCGCAAGGACAGATGTCTTCACTGTGTCTGGTTGTGATCCCGGTGAAGACATCTGGGATCACAAATATCTCAGTTGGCTGAGATATAGTGACACCTTTGCTTTTTGATAGTTCAGTATAATCAAAACTTTGCCTCCTACCAAAAAAATTTGTGTCCATGAGATGTATTATGAAACATATATAATCATCATCATCATCATAAACTTTATTTGTACCCCGCCACCATCTCCCCAAAGGGGACTCGGGTCGACTAACATGAGGCCAAGCCCAGAATTACAGTACAACAAAATAAAATAAAATTCAAACGGCAAATAATAACATTAAAACAAAAAACATAAAACAACAGGAAATGAAATAAACAGATACAAAATAACATGATGAAAAAAATAAAATAAAAGCACAGTGGGCGGGCCAAATGCACAGAATAAGATTGATAAAACCCTGGGTGAAATAAGTACTGTATATACTCAAATATAAGCCTAGTTTTTCAGCTCTTTTTTAGACTGAAAAAGTCCCCCTCGGCTTATACTTGAGTCAAGGTTATTTATTATAGAATCATAGAATCAAAGAGTTGGAAGAGACCTCCTGGGCCATCCAGTCCAACCCCATTCTGCCAAGAAGCAGGAATATTGCATTCAAAGCACCCCTGACAATCACCCATGACAGTTGGGAGAATACAGATTTTATTTTTTAATTTTTTGCACTGTAAACGACACACTACGCTTGTTTTCAACTGACATCCCGTTCGTTGCACTGAGCCCAAAACAAAAAAAGGGGTTGCCAGTGTTTTGTTCCTGACATTATTTTACTATGTCATCATCATCATCATCATTATTATTATTATTATTATTATTATTATTATTATTATTATTATTATTACTATCATTACATTTATTATTTTACTTTATTATTGTTATTACATTTATTGTTTACATTTATTATTTTTCTCTATTATAACTCTTATTACTACATTTCCATTATTTTAATGGCGAAATGACAGGAGAAAATGCTGCTAGAACACATTGGCCATACAGCTCGGAAAGCACGCAACACCTCCCAATGATTCTGCCCGTGAAAGCCTTCATAGAATCATAGAATCAAAGAGTTGGAAGAGACCTCCTGGGCCATCCAGTCCAACCCCATTCTGCCAAGAAGCAGGAATATTGCATTCAAAGCACCCCTGACAGATGGCCATCCAGCCTCTGTTTAAAAGCTTCCAAAGAAGGAGCCTCCACCACACTCCGGGGCAGAGAGTTCCACTGCTGAACGGCTCTCACAGTCAGGCAGTTCTTCCTCATGTTCAGATGGAATCTCCTCTCTTGTAGTTTGAAGCCATTGTTCCATTGCGTCCTAGTCTCCAAGGAAGCAGAAAACAAGCTTGCTCCCTCCTCCTCCCTGTGGCTTCCTCTCACATATTTATTCATGGCTATCATATCTCCTCTCAGCCTTCTCTTCTTCAGGCTAAACATGCCCAGTTCCCTAAGCCGCTCCTCATAGGGCTTGTTCTCCAGACCCTTGATCATTTTAGTCGCCCTCCTCTGGACACATTCCAGCTTGTCAATATCTCTCTTGAATTGGCCCTGCTCATGCTTCCACCTTCGACAACTCATCTTTTCTTTCTGTTTCAGGGCGGCTCCAAATCGGAAGAGGGTCCCCCCGCCATCCCGCCGCGGCAGCCTCCTCCTCCGAAGATCCAGCCCCGCGTGCCGGCGCTCTCCTGCGGCCCCCTCGACCAGCCCCTGCCGCCGAGCCCCCCTCCGCCCCCTCCCCCTCCGCGGGACCCCCTCCCGGACACCCCTCCTCCGGTGCCCCTGCGGCCCCCGGAGCACTTTGTGAACTGCTCCTCCTTCCTCCTGCAGCAGCCGCCCCTGGGCCGCTTCCACCGGGACCCCGACCGGCTGCGGGAGGGCGGCTCATGCCCCGGCTCGCCCGGCACGCCGCCCGGGACCCCCTCGCCCCGCGTCCTGCGCCGCTGGTGCGGGCTCAGCCCCGGCCCCAACCCCAGCCCGGAGCCCCCACCGCCCCCGGTCCCGCCGCGCCACAACTCCAGCCCGCAGCTTCCCAAACTGCCGCCAAAGACTTACAAGCGAGAGTTCTCCCACCCTCCTTTGCACAGACACTCTTTGCTCGAGAACGCCGAGGCGCCTCAATGACCGCCGCTCGACACAGGAGTCTTTGACACTGGAAGCATCGTAGCTGTATAGAGTTCCCGTTTTCTTGTTTTCGTTGTGGTTGTTGTTGTTTTTTAATTTATTCCAAGAAGGGCGGTGAGCGTCTCCGAGTGCTGTGGCGAGCGGCGCTTGTGCCCAGGAGGCTGCTGGCCCATCGGGGTTCTCGAGCAAGAGCGCCGCCTTGACCCCGCTTCCCGGCCTTTTTTGCATCAAGGGACCAGCAGCAGCAGCACTGCCTCCTCCAACTCCAACTCCTCCTCAGCGCCAACGGTTTTGCCAGTTGGGAGAATACAGATTTTATTTTTTAATTTTTTGCACTGTAAACGACACACTACGCTTGTTTTCGACTGACATCCCGTTCGTTGCACTGAGCCCAAAACAAAAAAAGGGGTTGCTGGTGTTTTGTTCCTACTTTTTAACCTCGAGACCGGAGCACAAGCGGCCTTTTTCAACACAAAACACACATCTAAATTTCTTAACAATCCAGCAGGAAGTGCCTCCTTTCCAGGAAGCATCCCGACGATTGGAAGGGAAACTTAAGACCATTTAGCCTACTTTTTTTTCTCTGTGAGGAGTGACTATGAGAAACTGCAAGTCACTTCTGGTGTGAGAGAATTCTCTTTCTGCAAGGACGTTGCCCAAGGGATGTTTTGATGTTTTACCATCCTTGTGGGAGGCTTCTCTCATGTCCCCACGTGGGGAGCTGGAGCTGACAGAGGGAGCTCATCTACTCTCTCCCCAGCCTGTCGGCCTGACCTGCTGATTTCCATAGGAGACTCCCTAGTGATTTCTGTCTGCAAGGGGTGGCATTTCCCACCTAACATGAAGAAGTATATCATGTTTCTGAAATCAGGAGGAGGAAAATAGATTTCTCTAAGACTTTCCTGCTGTTCTGGAAAGTTAATAGAGACTGTGTCTTAATTTATTGTCGAAGGCTTTCATGGCCGGAATCACTGGATTGTCGTAGGTTTTTCAGACGGCATAGCCATGTTCCAGAAGCATTCTCTCCTGATGTTTCGTCTGCATCTATGGCAGGCATCCTCAGAGGTCGAGAGGTCTGTTGGAAACTAGGAAAATTGGGTTTATATATTTGTGAAATGTCCAGGATGGGAGAAAGAACTCTTGTCTGTTGGAGCTAAGTGTAAATGTTTCAATTGGCCACCTTGATTAGTATTAAATGGCCTGACAGGTTTTTGGGATGGCTTGTTACTGCCTAGGGGAATCCTTTCTTGAGAGGTGATGAGCTATCCCTGGTTGTTTCTTGTCTGGAGTTCCCCCGTGTTTGAGTTTTGTTTTTTATTTACTGTTATAATTTTAGAGTTTTTTAAAATACTGGTAGCCATATTTTGTTCATTTTCATGGTTTCTGTCTTGGTGTCACCTTAACATTTAGGAAACACTGTGTGAACACCAAGCACAAAGTAGCTGCATGTCCTGAGCTGCCCTCCAAAAACAGCCTTTAGACAGTGTTGTAAGTAAAAGAAAAATGCTTTACTTGACACAAAGGATAAGCAAATGCAATTGAAAAGTGCAAAAGAAAACAAGGAAGTCTTAATCCAGACAGAAATCAAAGTCTCTTACAAAGTCCCAAAAGAAACACCAGTCTTCCATCAGAAAGCGGGCAATGAAGCAGCAGACACAAAGCAGATTTCATTGAAGTGAAAACATCAGTATCAGGGTCATTGTTACCAGCGAAAGCTGACTGCTCCTGCCTCTGATTTATAGCCCTGAATTCCCTACACAGGAGGTGCTAGGGTGTCTCCCAATTAGCTCAGTGTTTTTAGCAGCTATCCTAGCTGAACGCCCTAACACAGGAGGTGCTAGGGCGTCTCCCAATTAGCTCAGCGTTTTTAGCAGCTATCCTAGGTGAACGCCCTAACACAGGAGGTGCTAGGGTGTCTCCCAATTAGCTCAGCGTTTTTAGCAGCTATCCTAGCTGAACGCCCTAACACAGGAGGTGCTAGGGCGTCTCCCAATTAGCTCAGCGTTTTTAGCAGCTATCCTAGCTGAACTCCCTAACACAGGAGGTGCTAGGGTGTCTCCCAATTAGCTCAGTGTTTTTAGCAGCTATCCTAGCTGAACGCCCTAACACAGGAGGTGCTAGGGTGTCTCCCAATTAGCTCAGCGTTTTTAGCAGCTATCCTAGCTGAACGCCCTAACACAGGAGGTGCTAGGGTGTCTCCCAATTAGCTCAGCATTTTTAGCAGCTATCCTAGCTGAACTCCCTAACACAGGAGGTGCTAGGGCGTCTCCCAATTAGCTCAGCGTTTTTAGCAGCTATCCTAGCTGAACGCCCTAACACAGGAGGTGCTAGGGTGTCTCCCAATTAGCTCAGCGTTTTTAGCAGCTATCCTAGCTGAACTCCCTAACACAGGAGGTGCTAGGGCGTCTCCCAATTAGCTCAGCGTTTTTAGCAGCTATCCTAGCTGAACGCCCTAACACAGGAGGTGCTAGGGTGTCTCCCAATTAGCTCAGCGTTTTTAGCAGCTATCCTAGCTGAGCGGCGTCTGTGCTCTGTCTCTTTTCGTCTCTCTAGAAATGTGGGCACTTTCAAAACCTCCTCATCTGATTCTTCTTCTCCCTCCAATTCCTGAGCACTTCCCTGTTCCCCTTCCTCTTCTGAAGATGAGGAATCCCTAACATTTTTTTCCTCCAACAGACAAGAGTTCTTTCTCACACCCTGGACAAACCGTAACTACTGTAAACTGCTTTGAGTAGCCCAAGGGCTGGGAAAAGTGGTATATAAATATAGTAAATAATAATAATAATAATAATAATAATAATAATAGATATATAAACCCAATTTTCCTAGTTTCCAAGAGACTTCACAACCTCTGAGGATGCCTGCCATAGATGCAGGCGAACATCAGGAGAGAATGCTTCTGGAACATGGCCATACAGCCTGAAAAACATACAACTCTCTGTCTTAATTTCCATTGATTTTGCTGCTGAAGAGAAGAAAGCACGAGTTCCTAAAGACAAAAAAAAAATAACGTTTTGGTTATTACGTGAGACAAAAGGAAGCGAATCCTGCCTCACTCAGTTATTTATCCAAAAGAGAAAAGGAAAAGAAAGTATTTAGCATGTGTCAGGTTCAGTTGTGCCTTTTTCTCATTTGGGCAAGCGGAGGTGTCTTAAGCTCAAGCGGTTGCCTGCTGTTTTCGACGAACAAAGCTATTACGCCATACGATGTACAGTTTGTTTATATTGTATATTTACAGATTAATGACCTGTATGCATTTCTGTGGCTCCGTGGCCTACTCTGTCTGCGGTCTTTTTACTCCCGTGCGCTGTACACTGTTTTGAGCGTTTTCCCGGCGTCTTTTGTGGAGGAAAATGCGGCCTTCAGGACTCTAAAAAATCATGTACGTTCTCAATTCAGATTCTTCATCACGGTGGCGTTCTTTCTGGAAATCTGGTTGTTCAGTCCAACGAGTTCCAGGGAACCCAATCCAAGACTTTTCAAACCATTGGAACCAAAATTGGAACCGTTTTTCTGCGGCGGAGAAAATTCATTTTGGTTCCACGTACTGTCGAATCCGAAAGCCTTTTTTCTTGGAACGGTCCGTGGCCTTTTACTGTGCTTTTACTATCAAGAGTTCTTAACCAGATTAATAAATCAATCCAGTCTTAATTTTTAAGAAAGTTTGGTCACATTGTGTGGGTTTCTTTTTTTTGTCTTGTCAAGGAATCTTCTTCAACCTCATTGATTTGCAATTCTATTCAAATAGAACAAAAGATGTTAGATGGGCATGGGCCAACTTGGTCCCTCCCTCCAGGTGTTTTGGACTTCAATTCCCACAATTCCTAACAGCCGGTAGGCTGTTAGGAATTGTGGGAGTTGAGTATAATACCCACCAGAGTGGTACCTATGGATGTAGTCATATTTACATGAAATATAATAATGACGGTATGCCAATGGTAATAATAATCATCATCATCTAATAAATAAAAATGTAATGTTCGTTTGTGGGATTAACATAACTCAAAACCACTGGACGAATTGACACCAAATTTGGACACAAGACACCTACCAGGCCAAGGAGTGACCATCACTCAAAAATGATTTTGTCATTTGGGAGTTGTAGTTGCTGGGATTTATAGCTAACCTACAATCAAAGAGCATTATGAACTCCACTAGCGATTGAATTGAACCAAACTTAGCACACAGAACTCTCATGACTAACAGTAGCATTGTGTATCCAGCTTGGACATTCCACACTACCAAAGCCTCCTGAGTCGCAGCTCCAATGTGGCCAAAGAGGTTCTCTCACAAATCCTGCAACAACAAACCAGGGATGAGCTTGCAGCACTGCCTAGTTTGGAAGAAGTCAGCAATGCCATCAGCCAACAAAAAAATAACAAAGCCAGCGGACCTGATGGGATCCCTGCTGAAATCTTTAAAGAGGGAGGACCTGAGCTGACACAACAACTCCACCAGCTCATAGAAAAAGTGTGGGTGACCGAGAAAATCCCAGCAGATTTCAAGGATGCCACCATCATCACCCTCTTCAAAAAGGGGAAAGAACAGACTGCGGAAACTATTGAGGTATCTCCCTTGTAACTTCCGCTGGGAAAATCCTTGCAAACCGCCTTCTGCCCCTCTCAGAAGACACCCTCCCAGAATCCCAGAACGGCTTCCGCCCCTCCAGAGGAACCGTGGACATGATCTTCACTGCACGGCAGCTCCAAGAAAAATGCAGAGAACAAAAACAACCTCTGTACATGGCATTCATGGACCTTGCAAAGGCATTCGACACAGTGAACCGCAGCGTGGCTCCTCCATGATGACATGATGGCAACAGTTTTGGACAACAATGGCTCCCAAAGTGACCCATTTAAGGTGGAATCAGGTGTCAAACAGGGATGTGTTATTGCCCCAACTTTATTCTCCATCTTCATTGCTATGATACTTCACCTTGTTGATGGGAAGCTTCCCACCGGAGTGGAAATCATCTATCGGACAGATGGCAAGCTATTCAACCTCAGCAGACTGAAAGCCAAAACCAAGGTTACAACATCTGTTATAGAACTCCAGTATGCTGATGACAATGTCGTCTGTGCACATTCAGAAGAAGATCTACAAGCCACTCTAAACACCTTTGCAGAAGCATACACGAAGCTTGGCCTGTCACTGAACATCGAGAAAACCAAAGTGCTGTTCCAGCAGTCACCAGCCATCCCCTCCCCAATGCCAGAGATACAGCTTAATGGTGTAACATTAGAAAATGTTGACCATTTCCGCTACCTTGGCAGCCACCTCTCCACCAAAGTCAACATCGACACCGAAATACAACACCGCCTGAGCTCTGCAAGTGCAGCATTCTTCTGAATGAAGCAGAGAGTGTTTGAGGACCAGGACATCCGTAACACCAAGGTGCTTGTTTATAAAGCTATTGTCCTCCCAACCCTGCTATATGCCTGCAAAACATGGACTATCTACAGACGTCACATGCAACTCCTGGAACGATTCCATCAGCGTTGCCTTTGAAAAATCCTGCAAATCTCTTGGGAAGGCAGGCTGATAAACGTCAGCATGCTGGAAGAAGCAAAGACCACACCAGCATTGGAGCGATGGTCCTCCGCCATCAACTCCACTGGACCAGCCATGTTGTCCAGATGCCCAACCACTGTCTCCTAAAGCAGTTGCTCTACTCCGAACTCAAGAACGGAAAACGGAATGTTGGAGGACAGGAAAAGAGATTTAAAGATGGGCTGAAAGTCAAACTTTAAAACTCTGGCATAGATACTGAGAACTGGGAAGCCCTGGCCCTTGAGCATTCCAGCTGGAGGTCAGCTGTGACCAGCAGTGCTGTAGAATTTGAAAAGGCACAAATGGTGGGCGAAAGAGATAAATGTGCCAAGAGGAAGGCACATCAAGCCAACCCCAACCGGGACCACCTTCTGTCTAGAAACCGATGCCCTCACTGAGGGAGACGATGCAGGTCAAGAAGAGGGCTCCAAAGTCACCTATGGACCCACCGCCAGGACACTGATCCTAGAAGACTATCCTACTTGGACAACAAGGGATCACCTAAGTAAGTAAGTATCTATTATTATTATTATACATTATTATTATTATTATTATTATTATTATTATTATTATTATTATTATATTGTATTATTAATATTGCATTACATTATAGTATTATCTATTATACATTATTATATTATATTATTAATATTGCATTACATTATAGTGTTATCTATTATTATACATTATTATATTATATTATATTATTAATATTGCATTACATTATAGTATCTATTATACATTATTATAATATATTGTATTATTAATATTGCATTACATTACAGTATTATCTATTATTATACATTGTATTATATTAATATTGCATTACATTAGTATTATCTATTATTATACATTACTATATTATATTATTAATATTGCATTACATTATAGTATCTATTATTATACATTATTATATTACTAATATTGAATTACATTATAGTATTATCTATTATTATACATTATTATAATAGATTGTATTATTAATATTGCATTACATTATAGTATTATCTATTATACATTATTATATTGTATTATTAATATTGCATTACATTATAGTGTTATCTATTATTATACATTATTATATTATATTATATTATTAATATTGCATTACATTATAGTATCTATTATACATTATTATAATATATTGTATTATTAATATTGCATTACATTACAGTATTATCTATTATTATACATTGTATTATATTAATATTGCATTACATTATAGTATTATCTATTATACATTATTATAATATATTGTATTATTAATATTGCATTACATTACAGTATTATCTGTTATACATTATTATATTATATTATTAATATTGCATTATATTATAGTATTATCTATTATACATTATTATATTATATTATTAATATTGCATTACATTATAGTATTATCTATTATACATTATTATATTATATTATTAATATTGCATTACATTATAGTATTATCTAACTATACATTACTATATAATATTATTAATATTGCATTACATTATAGTATTATCTATTATTTATTTATTTATTATTTATTTACTTTGCTTATATACCGCTGTATCTCAAGTCCGAAGGCGACTCACAGCGGTTCACAAACAGTAAAAACAGTAGAAACAGCAGTGGTTCCATACAACATATAACAATTGACTTAACACATTATCCATAAATTACCAATAAGCAATTACAATGCACAATTATTACGAAAAACAACTGTACCCAATCTTCTCATCATCCAAGCGTAGTCCAGGTTCGTCGTCCATTGTTCCATTCCTATATTCCATTACCAGATTGCACTAAATTACTCAAACGCCTGCACAAACATCCAGGTCTTCACCTTTTTGCGGAATACCATTAGAGATGGTGCTAGTCTAATGTCCGTAGGAAGGGCGTTCCACAGCCGAGGAACCACCACCGAGAAGGCCCTATCTCTCGTCCCCGCCAGCCGAGCTTGAGAAGCAGGCGGGATCGAGAGCAGGGTCTCCCCGGAAGATCTCAAAGTCCTGGTGGGTTCATAGGCAGAGATGCGGTCAGATAGGTAGCTTGGGCCGGAACCGTTTAGGGCGTTAAAGGCCAACGCCAGCACTTTGAATTCAGCCCGGTAGCAGATCGGTAGCCAGTGGAGTTGGCGCAACAGGGGGTTGTATGCTCCCTGCGCTCCGCTCCTGTTAAAATCATGGCTGCCGAGCGTTGGACTAGTTGGAGCTTCCGAGCTGTCTTCAAAGGCAACCCCACGTAGAGAGCGTTGCAGTAGTCTAAACGGGATGTAACCAGAGCGTGGACTACCGTGGCCAAGTCAGACTTCCCAAGGTATGGGCGCAGCTGGCGCACAAGCTTTAGCTGTGCAAATGCTCCCCTGGTCACCGCCGAAACCTTGGGTTCCAGGCTCAGCGATGAGTCTTATCTATTATACATTATTATATTATATTATTAATATTGCATTACATTATAGTATTATCTATTATACATTATTATATTATATTATTAATATTGCATTACATTATAGTATTATCTATTATACATTATTATATTATATTATTAATATTGCATTGCATTATAGTATTATCTTTTATACATTTATTATATTATTAATATTGCATTACATTATAGTATCTATTATACATTATTATATTGTATTATTAATATTGCATTGCATTATAGTATTATCTATTATTATACATTATTATTATATATTATATTGTATTATTAATATTGCATTGTATTATTATTATTATTATTATTATTATTATTATTATTATTATTATTATTATATGCAATTTCAAAGTAAGGACTGCACAATCAAATAGGAATAATGCTTTGGAACCAGGAAGAAAAATATTTTGTTACATAGTTACAATGTACAATGTTACAATTAGCCTGGTGACAATGCTGCACTTGCAGTTCAGGCAGCAGGCTTTAGCCTCCTTGCCCAGGCTTCGCTGAACTACAAGACCCAGAATGCCTCGCTCTGTCGCCATGGCAGCTCAACCGCTTATCATCTCAAAGCGAGGCGCCAAGTGGTAGGCTTATGAGAGGAAAGGAGGCGGGACTTCCTGCCCCTTTTCCCTCAGAGGCCTACTGCCTGGCCTTTTCCTCTCCCCCTCACCGGAAGTAGGCCTCATTATGTCTTCTGCTGCTGAGGGCGGCGGGTTCTTCGAGCGGGCGCTGCCCTGGGGGCCTCCGGAGTCGGGCCTGGTCCTCCGCGTGGCGCAGCGCTCGGCCGGGGGGACGGGCTGCGTGGTGTGGGACGCCGCCCTGGTCCTGGCCCGCTTCCTGGCCAAGAAGAGCCCCGCCCAGGCCTCACTCGACCTCCGCCGCAAGGCCGCACTCGAGCTGGGCGCCGGCACGGGCCTAGTAGGCCTCATGGCCGCCTGCCTCGGGTAGGGCGCGCCGCCGGGCTCGGGAGCGCTGAGGGCGGGCGGAGGGACTAATCGAGGGCCGCGGCGGATGGAGGCCTACCTTGATCCCCAGAATAGTACTCGAACTGCCATAACTCAATCCTATGCAATCTTTGGATCTGTTGTTTGTTGAGTCCCCAACGTGCTATGGCAGAGAAGGCTAAAGGGCTTGAGAAAGTAATATGCTAATAGTATTACATTATATACATGTAATATAAAGGTAAAGGTAGTCCCCTGACATTAAGTCCAGTCATGTCTGACTCTGGGGTGTGGTGCTCATCTCCATTTCTAAGCCGAAGAGCCAGCGTTGTCCGTAGACACCTCCAAGGTCATGTGGCCGGCATGACTGCATGGAGCGCCGTTACCTTCCCGCCGGAGCGGTACCTATTGATCTACTCACATTTGCATGTTTTCGAACTGCTAGGTTGGCAGAAGCTAGGGCTGACAGCGGAAGCTCACGCCGCTCCCCGGAATCGAACCTGTGACCTTTCGATCAACAAGCTCAGCAGCTCAGTGCTTTTACCCACTGCGCCACCGGGGGCTCCTACATGTAATATACATCTCTCTATATAAAAATGCTCTGTGCATAATGAGTTCCTTAAAAACAAAAGAACCAATGAACAAAATCACACCAAATTTGGCAACAAAACGTCTCACTACACAAGGAGTGACCATCACTCAAAAAATTATGATTTTGTCATTTGGGAGTTGTAGTTGCTGGGATGTATAGTTCACCTACAATCAAAGAGCATTCTGAACTCCACCAAGGATGGAATTGAACCAAATATGGCACACAGAACTTCCATGACCAACAGAAAATACCAGAAGGGTTTGGTGGAAATTGACCTTGAGTTTGGGAGTTGTAGTTCACCTATATCCAGAGAGCACTGTGGACTCAAACAATGATGGATCTGGACCAAACTCTGCATGAATACTCAATATGCCCAAATATAAACACAGAAGAAGTTTGGGGGAAATAGACCTTGATATACTGGGATTTATAGTTCACCAGCTATCAAGGAGCATTCCGAATCCCACCAATGATGGAATTGGGCCAAACATCCCACACAGAACCCCCATGACCAACAGAAAATACCGTGTTTTCTTATGGTCTTTGGTGACCCTTCTGACAGCCCCCTGGTGACCCCTCCCCTGGGGTCTTGACTTCCCAGGTTGAGAAATGCTGTCTTAAGGCCATCCAGTCCAACTCCCTTCATCAGGGCAAGAAAACATAATCGAAGCCCTCCTGATAAAGGGCCATCCAGCCATTCACACACACACACATATGTATATGACAGATGCAGTATCATAGATTTGAAAGGGACCCCTAAATTAGGACAATGATAGGTTGCATGTTCCAGAGTAGGCAAACCAGACACTCTCCACATCAACACCGACAAAGAAACAGCAAGAAATACTGTTTACCCACAGGCAGAAAGACATTCCATATATTAGAAACCAACACTTTCTCATTACTTTATTTTCCAGATCACCAGACTGGGCCACAGCAACACGTGGCAGGGGACCACTAGTATAATATATACATATTATATTCATAATATACATATAATATTCATAATATTTATTTATTTAGAACATTTCTATTCCACCCTTCTCACCCGAAGGGGACTCAGGGCAGAGCACAGCATATATACGGCAAACATTCAATGCCGGGACAAGAATTCATATACGCATACATAAACATTTATCTCAATATTAAAATACACCATTTAAAATTGTCTGGGTCATCTGTGTTAAATCTAATTGGCCTGGTAATATTTCCTATGTAATACAATATATATGCAATACAATGTAATAATAATACTAATAATTATATATTATAATTATATATTTTATATTACATGTAATCTTACTAATAATATTACAATATGTTGTTCATTCGTTCAGTCGTCTCCAACTCTTCGTGACCTCATGGACCAGCCCACGCCAGAGCTCCCTGTCGGCCGTCACCACCCCCAGCTCCTTCAAGGTCAGTCCAGTCACTTCAAGGATGCCATCCATCCATCTTGCCCTTGGTCGGCCCCTCTTCCTTTTGCCTTCCACTTTCCCCAGCATCATTTCCTTCTCTAGGCTTTGCTGTCTCCTCATGATGTGGCCAAAGACTTCAACTTTGTCTCTAGTATCCTTCCCTCCAGTGAGCAGTCGGGCTTTATTTCCTGGAGGATGGACTGGTTGGATCTTCTCGCAGTCCAAGGCACTCTCAGAACTTTCCTCCAACACCACAGTTCAAAAGCATCGATCTTCCTTCGCTCAGCCTTCCCTAAGGTCCAGCTCTCACATCCGTAGGTGACTACAGGGAATACCATGGCTTTGACTAGGAATGGATCTTTGTTGCCAGTCTGATGTCTCTACTCTTCACTATTTTATCGAGATTGGACATTGCTCTCCTCCCAAGAAGAAGCGTCTTCTGATTTCCTGGCCACAGTCTGCATCTGCAGTCATCTTTGCGCCTAGAAATACAAAGTCTGTCACGGCCTCCACATTTTCTCCTTCTATTTCCCAGTTGTCAATCATTCTTGTTGCCATAATCTTGGTTTTTTTTGACGTTTAGACACACCATATTATTTGAGAACACAGAAATGCTGGACCACTCTCACAACCACCATGTCAGCCTACACAGAGAAGCCACTGAAATCCACAAGCATGTGAACAATTTCAACAGAAAGGAGGAAACCAGGAAAATGAACAAAATCTGGCTACCAGTATTAAAAAAACTCTTAAATTAAAATAGCAAAACAACAGAGGGGAAACATGAGGCACATCTAATCACCTCTCAATAAAAGATTGCCCCAGGCACTGCCAGGCCATCAAATGCTAATCAAGGTGGTCAGTTGAAACATTCACACCTAGCTCCAGCAAACGAGAGTCCTTTGTCCCACCCTGGTCATTCCACAGATATATAAACCCTTTTTCCTATTTATTTATCGTGTCATCAGCAACCATTGTATTACAATTCTAACGGAGCAAAACAAACACACAGATTAAAAAGAAAAAGGGAAAAAAACACACAAATTTTGCAAGCTTGGTAGTTGATTAAATGTCCTTTGACCAGTATCTGGCCACTTGGAGTGCCTCTGGTGTTGCCCCAAGAAGGTCCTCCATTGTGCATGTGGCAGGGCTCAGGTTGCATTGCAGCAGGTGGTCAGTGGTTTGCTCTTCTCCACACTCGCATGTCGTGGATTCCACTTTATGGCCCCATTTCTTGAGGTTGGCTCTGCATCTCGTGGTGCCAGAGCGCAGTCTGTTCAGCGCCTTCCAAGTCGCCCAGTCTTCTGTGTGCCCAGGGGGGAGTCTCTCATCTGGTATCACCCATGAATTGAGGTGCTGGGTTTGGGCCTGCCACTTTTGGACTCTCGCTTGCTGGGGTGTTCCAGCGAGTGTCTCTGTAGATCTAAGAAAACTATGTCTTGATTTAAGTCGTTGACGTGCTGGCTGAGACCCAAATGTTACTGCCTTGGTCCTTTCACTATTGGCTGCTACTTCCCAGCGGATGTCAGGTGGTGCAATACTGGCTAAGCAGTGTAATTTCTCCAGTGGTGTAGGGCGCAGACACCCTGTGATAATGCGGCATGTCTCATGAAGAGCCACATCTACTGTTTTAGTGTGGTGAGATGTGTCCCACACTGGGCACCCTTTTTCCAAATTCCAACAGACCTCACTCCCTCTGAGGATGCTTGCCATAGATGCAGGCGAAACGTCAGGAGAGAATGCCTCTAGAGCATGGCCATATAGCCCAAAAAAACCTACAACAACCCTATATTTTGATGATTTTTAACTGAGAATTTTTAAATACTGTTTATATTTAATCCTGCTTAATGTTTGCATATTTGTATATTTTAAATTGTATGCTGATACCTTCATCTTAAGCTGCTTTGAGTCTCCTGCAGGGTATAAATATAATAATAATAATCTATATAAATACAAATGTAATGTTTGTTTGTGGGATTAACATAACTCAAAAACCACTGGACGAATTGCCACCAAATTTGGCCACAAGACACCTACTAACCCAAGGAGTGACCATCACTCAAAAAAATTGATTTTGTCATTTGGGAGTTGTAGTTGCTGGGATTTATAGTTCACCTACAATCAAAGAGCATTCTGAACTCCACCAATGATGGAATTGAACCAAACTTGGCACACAGGACTCCTGTGACCAACAGAAAACACTAGAAGGGTTTGGTGGCATTGACCTTGAGTTTGGGAGTTGTAGTTCACCTACATCCAGAGAGCACTGTGGATAGAGACATCACACGGGCTACGAAGATCCACATAGTTAAAGCAATAGTATTCCCCTTAGTAACCTATGGATGTGAGAGCTGTACTATAAGGAAGACTGAGTGAAGGAAGGTAGATGCTTTTGAACTGTGGTGTTGGAGGAAAGTTCTGAGAGTGCCTTGGACTGCGAGAAGATCCAACCAGTCCATCCTCCAGGAAATAAAGCCCGACTGCTCACTGGAGGGAAAAATACTAGAGACAAAGTTGAAGTACTTTGGCCACATCATGAGGAGACAGGAAAGCCTAGAGAAGACAATTATGCTGGGGAAAGTGGAAGGCAAAAGGAAGAGGGGCCGACCAAGGGGAAGATGGATGGATGGCATCCTTGAAGTGACTGGACTGACCTTGAGGGAGCTGGGGGTGGTAACGGCCGACAGGGAGCTCTGGCGTGGGCTGGTCCATGAGGTCACGAAGAGTCGGAGACGACTGAACGAATGAACAACAAACAAGAAAAGTTCACCTACATCCAGAGAGCACTCAAACAGTGATGGAGCTGAACCAAACTTGGCATGAATACTTCATGTGCTCAAATATGAACCCAGATGGAGTTTGGGGGGAATAGACCTTGGCATTTGGGAGTTGTAGTTACTGGGATTTCTAGTTCACCTACAATCAAAGGGCATGCTGAACCCCACCAACAACAGAATTGGGGCAAACTTCCCACACAGAACCCCCATGACCAACAGAAAATACTTAAGGCCATCCAGTGCAACTCCTTTCACCAGGGCAAGAAAATGTAAACAAAGCCCTCCTGACAAAGAGCCATCCAGCCATGGATKTAGATTGATAGATATGATTCACACACATACACACACACACATATACGTATTTGACAGATACAGTATCATAGATTTGAAAGGGACCCCTAAAGAAGGACAATTACAGGTTGCATGTTCCAGAGTAGGCAAACCAGACACTCTCCACATCAACACCGACAAAGAAACAACAAGAAATACTGTTTACCCACAAGCATAAAGACATTACATATATTAGAAACCAACACRCTCATTACTCTGTTTTCCAGATCACAACAATGCATYGCAGGGGGCAGCTAGTGTATATTAATATGGGTCTCCAAGGTTTTATTTAAAAACCAATCCTCTGACTGTCACTTCTTTTGCAGGGCAAATGTTACTGTCACAGATCTTGAGGAAGTTCAGGACTTGCTGAAGATGAACATTGAGAATAATCAGCATCATTTCACAGGTTCTATTCAGGCCAAGGTACTGAAATGGTTCGTATGGACTTCTCGTTTTGCAATATATCTTCCCCCAAGGGATTGGAAATGTCTATCCATAAGGGCTTCACGCAATAAACGTGACCAAGTAGACTGAGATTGCAAACATTTGTGCTACTAACCTTTTACTCATTGTTAGTCTCAAAAATGTTACAGCAGGCATGGGCAAACTTGGGCCCTCCAGGTGTTTTGGACTTCAACCCCCACAATTCCTAACAGCCTCAGGCCTCTTCCTTTTCCCCCTCAGCCGCTTAAGCGGCTGAGGGGGATAAGGAAGAGGCCTGAGGCTGTTAGGAATTGTGGGGGTTGAAGTCCAAAACACCCGGAGGGCCCAAGTTTGACCATTCCTGTGTTACAGGATCTTTTTTTATTTTATTTTTTGTAAAAGAAAACAGTTTTGGTTGACAACGGCCAGGTTTAATTGAAGTGAGGACATCACAAAATGGGCCTCATGAGCTCTTCAGAGAGCAAACACTTTTAATTTGCACCTGGCTATTCCAGTGTGGTGTAGTGGTATTCAGTTATTGGGTTTGTTAACTTTATTTTTTATTTTATGATTTATTTTTTATTTTATTTTATTTTATGATTTATTTTTTATTTTATTTTATTTTATGATATTTTATGATTGACAACTGGAAAATAGAGGGAGAAACCGTGGAGGCCGTGACAGACTTTGTATTTCTAGGTGCAAAGATTACTGCAGATGCAGACTGTAGCCAGGAAATCAGAAGACGCTTACTTCTTGGGAGGAGAGCAATGACCAATCTCAAGAAAATAGTGAAGAGTAGAGACATCAGACTGGCAACAAAGATCCGCCTAGTCAAAGCCATGGTATTCCTTGTAGTAACCTACGGATGTGAGAGCTGGACCTTAGGGAAGGCTGAGTGAAAGGAGATAGATGCTTTTGAGCTGTGGTGTTGGAGGAAAGTTCTGAGAGTGCCTTGGACTGCGAGAAGAGCCAACCAGTCCATCCTCCAGTCCATCCTCCAGGAAATAAAGCCCGGCTGCTCACTGGAGGGAAGGATACTAGAGACAAAGTTGAAGTACTTTGGCCACATCATGAGGAGACAGGAAAGCCTAGAGAAGACAATGATGCTGGGGAAAATGGAAGGAAAAAGGAAGAGGGGCCGACCAAGGGCAAGATGGATGGATGGCATCCTTGAAGTGACTGGATTGACCTTGAAGGAGCTGGGGTGGTGAGGCCGACAGGGAGCTCTGGCGTAGGCTGGTCCATGAGGTCACGAAGAGTCGGAGACGACTGAACGAATGAACAACAACAACAACAACTTTATTTTTATCTCTCCATTCTGCCGATGTAAGAACTCAAGGCAGCTACTAATAAATGTAAAACGATGCTGAAAACAATGTGAGAACACTATAATATAAATGTAGCTTTTTCAAAAGTAATCAAGCAATTGATGCTATTATATTGGGATTACGACCTGTTAGGATCGTGACCCATTGGGAATTACGACCTGTTAGGATTATAACCTATTGATTAACTAGGTAAATTTGCTGTTGTTGTTTGTTTATTTATTTATTTATTTACTTACTTTGCTTATATACCGCTGTATCTCAAGCCCGAAGGCGACTCACAGCGGTTCACAAACAGTAAAAACAGTAGAAACAGCAGTGGTTCCATACAACATATAACAATTGACTTAACACATTATCCATAAATTACCAATAAGCAATTACAATGCACAATTAGTACAAAAAACAACCGTACCCAATCTTCTCATCATCCAAGCGTAGTCCAGATTCGTCGTCCATTGTTCCATTCCTATGTTCCATTACCAGATTGTACTAAATTACTCAAACGCCTGCACAAACCTCCAGGTCTTCACCTTTTTGCGGAATACCATTAGAGATGGTGCTAGTCTAATGTCCGTAGGAAGGGCGTTCCACAGCCGAGGAGCCACCACCGAGAAGGCCCTATCTCTCGTCCCCACCAGCCGAGCTTGAGAAGCAGGCGGGATCGAGAGCAGGGTCTCCCCGGAAGATCTCAAAGTCCTGGTGGGTTCATAGGCAGAGATGCGGTCAGATAGGTAGCGTGGGCCGGAACCGTTTAGGGCTTTAAAGGCCAACGCCAGCACTTTGAATTCAGCCCGGTAGCAGATCGGTAGCCAGTGGAGTTGGCGCAACAGGGGGGTTGTATGCTCCCTGCGCTCCGCTCCTGTCTTCCAAGCTGTCTTCAAAGGCAACCCCACGTAGAGAGCGTTGCAGTAGTCTAAACGGGATGTAACCAGAGTGTGGACTACCGTGGCCAAGTCAGACTTCCCAAGTTGTTGTTTCTGTTGTTGTTGTTGTATTGGGTAGCAGTTACGGAAGTGTTCTCAGTGACTGTATTCTAAACAGTCACATGGTCTGCAGCCCCTCCCACTGCCTCTAGTACATAGAGCTAAGGAAACGGCAAACCAAATAATAATAATAATGATGATGATGATGATACACTTTATTTATAACCCGCCACCATCTCCCCAAAGGGGACTCAGAGCGGCTTACATGAGGCCAAGCCCAAAATAATACAACATAATAAACACACAATAACAAACTACATCATCTATATAAATAAAAATGTAATGTTCGTTTGTGGGATTAACAGAACTCGAAAACCACTGAATGAATTGACACCAAATTTGGACACAAGACACTAACAACCCAATATATGTCCTTCACTCAAAAAATTGATTTTGTCATTTGGGAGTTGCAGTTGCTGGGATTTATAGTTCACCTACAATCAAAGAGCATTCTGAACCCAACCAACAATGCAATTGAACCAAATTTGGCACATAGTTCTCCCATGACCAACAGAAAATACTGGAAGGGTTTGGTGGGCAGTGTCCTTTGGTTTTGGAGTTGTAGTTCACCTACATCCAGAGATCACTGTGGACTCAAACAATGATGGATCTGGACCAAATTCTACATTAATACTCCATATGCACAAATGTGAACACTGGTGGAGTTTGGGGAAAATAGAATCTTGACATTTGGGAGTTGTAGTTGCTGGGATTTATAGTTCACCTACAATCACAGAGCATTCTGAACTCCACCAACAATAGAATTGGGCCAAACCTCCCACACAGAACCCCCATGTGGGCCACAGCAACACGTGGCAGGGGATGGCTAGTATTCTAATATAAATGTAGCATTTTCAAAAGTAATCAAGCAATTTATGCTGTTATATTGGGATATGGGTTATGACCTGTTAGGATAATAACCTGTTGGGTAGCAGTTACGGAAGTATTCTCTGTGACTGTATTCTAAACAGTCACATGGTTTGCAGCCCCTCCCACTGCCTCAAGTACATAGAGCTAAGGAAACTGCAAACCAAAGAAGACATACACATTACAACACATTATAAACAGACAAAACATTTATATTCCACCCTTCTCACCCCGCAGGAGACTCAGGGCACATTACAATGTACAAATACATGGCAAACATTCAATACCATAAACACACAACATATATAGACAGACACTCAGAGGCTATTTAACATTCCAGCTTTTTCATGAGGGTATTCTGGCCACCAGGGGAGCTGTCACTTCACCGTCCATTTGTGACACTAATGAAGTACTTCCTCATTCTTTGCATGCTTGCTGGAGATTTTTATGGTGTCATAAATTAGCGCATAAGCGGTACCTAAATTTCCTACTTGACAGATGCAACTGTCTTTCGGGCTGCAAAAGTCAACAGCAACCTACACAAATTGGTCAGAAGCTCACTCCGACCCGGGCTGGCTTCGAACTCATGACCATTCCAGCTTTTTCATGAGGGTATTCTGGCCACCAGGGGAGCTGTCAATTCACCATCCATCTGTGACACTGGTGAAGTACTTCCTCATTCTTTGCATGCTTGCTGGAGATTTTTATGGCGTCGTAAATTAACCTCCCCACATAAGCGGTACCTAAACTTCCTACTTATTTACTTATTTAGTTATTTATTTACAGCATTTATATTCCGCCCTTCTCACCCCCAGGGGACTCAGGATGGATTACAATACACATATACATGGCGAACATTCAATGCCAATTAGACATACAATGTATATAGACATATTTAACTTTTTCTGGCCGCCAGGGGAGCTGTTGCTTGCATTGTCTATCTTGACAGATGCAACTGTCTTTCGGGCTGCAAAGGTCGACAGCAAGCTACACAAATTGGTCGGAAGCTCACTCCGACCCAGGCTGGCTTCAAACTCATGATCAGTAGTGACCTTAGTGCAGCTGACTCCCAGTCATCTACGCCACAGTTCTGGTGCATATATGAATATATATGTTTCAGTGTGGCTGTGTTCATGTCACAAACATTGGGTAATATGGGGCATGATGAGCCACAGTCTGTTGAAATCACTGGAGGCCTCTGTACTGGATCAATAACTGTTCTTGCAAGAGATGAATCCATGTCTGTTTCCTAACTAGGGGTGAAGATGTAACAGATTTTCTTCCTCCGCCTGACTACATACTGATGGCAGACTGTATCTACTATGAAGAGGTAAGTTATTTATTTCTCTCCCCTTCTATTTTGGTGTCTTGTGGGTTGAGAAGATGCTTTCTGGCCAGGGCGGAAATCAGACAGCATCCCAAATGCACAGCAACCCTAGCAGAGCACAAGCCAAAGTATTTGGCGTTTAGCATACCTGGAGAAGAATGTGAATTCTATCCTGATTTCTAGCATGTGCAGCCCCCCTCCCCTGCTTGTTTTCCTTTCTCGTCAGGCATCCAAATACCCGTTTGTTTGTTTTTTTATCCCACTTGCCAGTAAGCTTTGAATAATTCATCTGAGAACAACATTTCCAGTTTCTGTGAGGTTTAGATGACGTTTAAGGTGGAGACGAGGAATAATCTACCTGGCAGTTGATCTGAATTGAATTTGCGGCATCCCCCCAAACTTTTTATTTATCGTGTCAGAAGCGAATTGAGAGTACAGTTCAATGTATTTAAAAAGACAAACAAAGTTAAAACTTGACATTCTACTAAATGTCCTTTGACCAGGAGCTGGCCACTTGGAGTTCCTCTGGTGTGGTTTATTTGTATTGCTGTATTGTTGGGCTTGGCTTCATGTAAGCTGCCCCGAGTTCCCTTGGGGAGATGGTGGCGGGGTATAAATAAAGATTGTTGTTGTTGTTGTTGTTGTTGTGGCTGTGAGAAGGTCCTCCATTGTGCATATTGCAGGGCTCAGGCTGCCACGGTGGTCCATGCTCTCGTCACATCTAGGATAGATTACTGCAACGCCCTCTTCATGGGGTTGCCTTTGAAGACTGCTCGGAAGCTTCAAATAGTCCAACGAGAGGCAGCCAGGTTAATAACTGGGGTGGCATAATATACAAAAATCACTACAAAAAATGCTAAAGATAGATATACCCTGGAAACCAGAAACATTCCTATTAGGGATTCACAACATAAAAATGGAGAAGAATAAAGATAAAATCCTATTCCTCTTAACGACAGCGGCCAGAATAATTTATGCAAAGCACTGGAAGGAAAAAGAGCCTCCGGAGGAAGAGGAATGGCTAACAAAGATCCTGGATATAAGAAATATGGACAAATTAACTTATATACTCTCAAAAAAAAAAAGGGGCACTCCATCAGCAGAAACAGACTGGAAACAAGTAACAACATACTTGATAAAAGAAAAAAATATGAAAATAATCACATGAAAGAGCCGTAAGCAAAACAAACAGGGGAGAGCAGAAGAGAGATGAGAGAGGAGAAGTACAAAAGAAAGAAGGAACGAAGGAAGAGGAAAAATCTCCAGAAGATACCTGGAAGTCAACGTCAGACCTACGTCAATCACACACCCCTCATCCCCCACAGTGACCTTTCCAATTTTCCTTTTCTACACCTGGCACACTATTTATCTCTAGCAGCCATCAAACAGCATTCTCCCCACTCTATCCCCTCTATACTATCATCCCCCTTCTATTCCTATCTTTTGCCCCCCCCCCCCTTCTTATACCTACCCACCCAGATACAGTATGTTTTTAATTAAAATTAATAAAGATTATTTTAAACAATAACTGGGGTGGCATACAGGGAGCATACAACTCTTATGTTACGCCAACTCCACTGGCTGCCAGTTTGCTACCGGGCACAATTCAAAGTGCTGGGTTTGGCCTATAAAGCCCTAAAAAGCCCCGGCCCAATTTACCTGTCCGAACGCATCTCCCCCTATGAACCACTGCAGAGATTAAGATCTTCTGGGGAGGCCCTGCTCTCGGTCCCACCACCATCACAGGCGCATTTGTCGGGGATGAGAGACAGGGCCTTCTCAGTAATTGCCCCTCGGCTATGGAACTCCCTTCCTCATGAGATCGGGTCAGTCCCTTCCCTCTTGTATTTTAGAAGGATGATACAAACGTGGCTGTGGGGCCGAGCCTTTGGGGCTGTGCAATGAGGCAGCGATAGGAACCCTTAGTATGCCAACCAAATTCAATATGGTTGTTGAGACCAGTGGATTTAAACATCAGGATAAGTGATTTTAATGCTTTTGTACGTGTATGGTCTAGTATGTTTCGGCATTGAATGTTTGCCGTTTATATGTTGTGCTCTGCCCTGAGTCCCCTTCGGGGTGAGAAGGGCGGAACGTAAATGCTTAAAATAAATTGTAGTAGGTGTGGTTTGCTCTTCTCCACACTCGCATGTTGTGGACTCCACTTTGAGGCCCCATTTCTTAAGATTGGCTCTGCACCTCGTGGTGCCAGAGCGCAGTCTCTTCAGTGCCTTCCTTGCAAGTTGCCCAGTCTTCTGTGTGCCCAGGGGGGAGTCTCTCATTCAGATTGAAGTGCTGGGTTTTAGCCTGCCACTTTTGGACTCTTGCTTGCTGAGGTGTTCCTGCAAGTATCTCTGTAGATCTTAGGGAACTATTTCTTGATTTAAGGCACTGGCTTGCTTATAAAACTGATTTTTGAATCATAGAATCAACGAGTCGGAAGAGACCTCCTGGGCCATCCAGTCCAACCCCATTCTGCCAAGAAGCAGGAATATTGCATTCAAATCACCCCTGACAGATGGCCATCCAGCCTCTGCTTAAAAGCTTCCAAAGAAGGAGCCTCCACCACGCTCCGGGGCAGAGAGTTCCACTGCTGAACGGCTCTCACAGTCAGGAAGTTCCTCCTCATGTTCAGATGGAATATCTTCTCTTGTAGTTTGAAGCCATTGTTTCCATAACACAAATAAAGTACAACCTTCACACTGGAGTTTCAGACACAGCAGCCTTCTCATAATGAGGCCTACCTCATACTCAGGCCAACTAACAATGAGGTCTATTCTCCCACTGAGGCGATCTTTCACACAGAGATGCTTCTCTCACGCTGAGAGGTCTATTCTCCCACTGAAGTGATCTCTCACACAGAGATGCTTCTCTCACACTGAGGCGTTACTAAGCAGCAGGCATGCCTGCTTATGTTGAATTGCAGCTTCTCTGGGTCACTGCATCCATTTAACCCTTTCAGTGCTTGACTCACATTTTTGTAACCAAAACTAGTTAATTTTTAATATTTCTGTCAGGAACCTAATTTCCTCTTTTCTGCGCAGTCGCTGGAGCCTTTGCTCAAGACCTTGAAGGACCTCTCTGGCCCTGATACCTGCATCCTTTGCTGCTATGAAGAAAGGACCATGGGGAAAAACCCAGAGGTGGAGAAAAGGTATTTTGAGGTGAGCTCTTTGGCCAGGTTTGTACAAAAATGTCATAGGAAAGCCCCCCTTCTTGGAAAAAAAGGCTCCAGGCCCCAAAGGTTGTGTTCAAAAACCAGTCTTCTCTTTCAAACAGAGTGGACTCCTTTAATCAGAGGATACGTGGGTACTTCTTTCACCTCTCAAACTCTCCCTAAGATTTCACCTCTCAAACCCTCTCAAAGATTATAATTTCTATCCCATTTTTTAAAATCTGGGGGCAATTTTGATGGTTTTCATTTACTGGAGACAGCCTTGTATGCAACAAATAACACTCAACTTATCCACCCCCGGAATCCCTTCCCACTTTGGAAAAACAATCAAATCCAGGTCAAATTCAAATCGTCCTGAGTGCAAGCATCACCTCCCTGCCGCAGTCAGGCACACGCCAGAATGAGGCCAAAAAAACAGAGCGTTTGATTCTGATGCAATTTTAAATCGCAGCTCCTTCAGAAGGACTTTGAGTTGGAAAAAGTTCCCTTGGAAGAGCACGACGAGGAGTACCGCAGTGAGGACATCCACATCTTTACCATCCGAAGGAAAGTAACGGTAGGTGGTAGCTGTGATTGTTCTGGAGAAGAAGACATTGAACCAGGCATGGGCATACCTGGGCCCTCTGGGTGTGTTGGACTTCAACTCCCACCATTCCCAACAGCCTCAAGCCCCTTCCTTTCCCCCCTCAGCCGCTTATTTATTTACTTTTATTTACTTTGCTTCTATACCGCTGTATCTCAAGCCCGAAGGCGACTCACGGCGGTTCACAAACAGTAGAAACAGTAGAAACAGCAGTGGTTCCATACAACATATAACAATTGACTTAACACATTATCCATAAATTACCAATAAGCAATTACAATGCACAATTATTACAAAAAACAACCGTACCCAATCTTCTCATCATCCAAGCGTAGTCCAGGTTCGTCGTCCATTGTTCCATTCCTATGTTCCATTACCAGATTGCACTAAATTACTCAAACGCCTGCACAAACATCCAGGTCTTCACCTTTTTGCGGAATACCATTAGAGATGGTGCTAGTCTAATGTCCGTAGGAAGGGCGTTCCACAGCCGAGGAGCCACCACCGAGAAGGCCCTATCTCTCGTCCCCGCCAGCCGTACTTGAGAAGCAGGCAGGATCGAGAGCAGGGCCTCCCCGGAAGATCTCAAAGTCCTGGTGGGTTCATAGGCAGAGATGCGGTCAGATAGGTAGCTTGGGCCGGAACCGTTTAGGGCTTTAAAGGCCAACGCCAGCACTTTGAATTCATCCCGGTAGCAGATCGGTAGCCAGTGGAGTTGGCGCAACAGGGGGGTTGTATGCTCCCTGCGCTCCGCTCCTGTTAAAATCATGGCTGCCGAGCGTTGGACTAGTTGGAGCTTCCGAGCTGTCTTCAAAGGCAACCCCACGTAGAGAGCGTTGCAGTAGTCTAAACGGGATGTAACCAGAGCGTGGACTACCGTGGCCAAGTCAGACTTCCCAAGGTACGGGCGCAGCTGGCGCACAAGCTTAGCTGTGCAAATGCTCCCCTGGTCACCGCCGAAACCTGGGGTTCCAGGCTCAGCGATGAGTCCAGGGTCTTGTTTACTTTATTTTTATCTCCCCATTCTGCCGATATAGGAACTCAAGGCAGCTACGAGTAAATATAAAACAATTGTAAAAACAATGTGAGGACCTTATAATATAAATGTAGCATTTTCAAAAGTAATCAAGCAATTATTATTAATAATAATAATAATAATACTTTATACCCCACCACCATCTCCCCAAGGGGACTCGGGGCGGCTTACATGAGGCCAAGCCCAACAACACATCAGTAAACAACAAAGCAATAAGCAAATAAAACAGTACAATTAATATAACTTACATATAAACAAGAACACACAGAATTAAAAACCTTATGGCCAGGCCAGATGTAATAAAAATTTTTTTTTAAATAAACACTGGGCGTGAACAGAGGTAGGAGGTATCTAAACAGGAGGGTTTAAAAAGATAATATAGGGAGACCAACCCAACTGATAGTAAAGTGCTTCTGAGGACAATTTTAGAGAATTAATCAGAGCAGGGCATTGTTTCCTTATTCAGGGAAGGCACACTGGAACAGCCATGTTTTCAGGCTCCTCCTAAAGACTGCCAATGTGGGGGCTTGTCTGATATCCTTGGGGAGTGAGTTCCAGAGTCGGGGGGCACCACAGAGAAGGCCCTCTCCCTCGTCCCTACCAATCGCGCCTGCGAAGGGGACGGGAGCAAGAGCAGGGCCTCTCCAGATGATCAAAGAGATCATGTGGGTTCGTACACAGAAATGCGGTCACACAGGTAGGTGGGTATGCTATGCGACTTTATTGAGATTAGGAACTGTTAGGATCATAACCCATTGGGAATTATGATCTGTTGGGATCATAACCTATTGATTAACTAGGTAGATTTGTTGTTGTTGTTGTTGTTGTATTGGGTAGCAGTTACAGAAGTGTTCTCTGTGACTGTATTCTAAATAGTCATATGGTCTGCAGCCCCTCCCACTGCCTCAAGTACATAGAGCTAAGGAAACTGAAAACCAAAGAAGACATACACTTCAGGAAATTAATAACACATTATAAACAGACAAAACATTAAATAGAGGAGGCTTGAGGAAGTAGCTTAAGCGGATGAGAAGGAAAAGGCCTGCGGCTGTTACGAATTGTGGGAGTTGAAGTCCAAATCACCCAGATATAGGAACTCAAGGCGGTTACTAATAAATATAAAACAGTTGTAAAAACAACGTGAGGACATTATAATATAAACGTAGCATTTTCAAAAGTAATCAAGCAATTTATGCTATTATATTGGAAACTATGACCTGTTAGGATCATAACCTATTGATTAACTAGATAGTGTTGTTGTTGTTGTATTAGGTAGCAGTTACAGAAAGGTTCTCTGTGACTGTATTCTAAATAGTCATGGTCAGCAGCCCCTCCCACTGCCTCTAGTACATAGAGCTAGTAACTCAAGGCGGTTACTAATAAATATAAAACTATTGTAAAAACAACGTGAGGACATTGTAATATAAACATAGCATTTTCAAAAGTAATCAAGCAATTTATGTTATTATATTGGGAATTATGACCTGTTAGGATCATAACCTATTGATTAACTAGGTAGATTTGTTGTTGTTGTTGTTGTTGTTGTATTAGGTAGCAGTTACAGAAAGGTTCTCTGTGACTGTATTCTAAATAGTCATATGGTCTGCAGCCCATCCCACTGCCTCAAGTATATAGAGCTAAGGAAACTGCAAACCAAAGAAGACATACACTTCAGGAAATAAACGACACATTATAAACAGACAAAACATTAAACAGAGGAGGCTTGAGGAGGTAGCTTAAACAGCTGAGTAATAATAATAATAATAATAATAATAATAATAATAATAATAATAATGAAACTTTATTTATACCCCGCTACCATCTCCCCAAGGGACTCGGTGTGGCTTACATGAGGCCGAGTCCAAAGTACATCAACAGTAAAAGCAATGAAAAACAATCAATACAACAGTTAAAATAAATCTCATAAACAAAAGTAAACAATCGACAGTAACAATAACAACAAGCATTTAAAACCTATGGCTGGCCCAATGTAATAATTTAAAATTAAAAAATAATGCTCGACATGGACAAGGTAGGATATAACTGGGATAGAGTTTTCAGAGAGAGATGGGGACGCAGTCAGTCCTAAATCAGTGATAAAGTGCATTTAGGGACATATTGCTGAGGGAATTTCCTTATTCTGGGAAGGCACACTGGAACAACCACGTTTTCAGGCTCCTCCTAAAGACTGCCAGAGTTGGGGCATGTCTGATGTCCCTGGGAAGTGAGTTCCAGAGTCGGGGCCCACCACCGAGAAGGCCCTCTCTCTCGTCCCCACCAATCGTGCTTGTGATGGTGGTGGGAGCATGAGCAGGGCCTCTCCAGATGATCAAAGAGATCATGTGGGTTCGTACACAGAGATGCGGTCATGCAGGTAGGCGGGTCCCAAACCATTTGGGGCTTTGTAGGTAAGCACCTGCACCTTGAATTGGGACCAGTAAATGAATGGCAGCCAATGGAGCTCCTTAAACAGAAGGGTTTACCGCTCCCTGTAAGGAGCACCAGTTAACAACCTGGCCACCGCTCGTTGAACCAATTGAAATTTCCGGCCGTTTTCAAGGGCAGTCCCACGTAGAGTGCATTACAGTAATCCAGAAAAGCCCTGAGGCTGTTAGGAATTGTGGGAGTTGAAGTCCAAAATACTCAGAAGGCTGAAGTTTTCCCATGCCTGTTTTAGACAGAAAAAACAAGGGCGGAGGGAATTCTCTTACAGTTTGTTAGAGAACCCTGTTATGAAATAGAAATAATAAAAAAGCAAGCGTACACATGTTTGCTTCAGTGAAGGTATTAATTTTTAAACATTTTCCAGAACTGTTCATCCTGACACCTTTGATGTTGTTTTCTGGTGGCCTGGCAGACGAGGGGAGGCGCGACGGAGAGTGCCTGGCGGGTTCTCTGCAGGACGTTTCTGCGGCAAAAGTGGATCAGCGTTCAGCCTCCCACTGAGACGACACTCACAGTCAGTTTTCTTGGAAGAGTTGAAAGCACCCGCTCAGGGCTCCCTCGGGGTTGTGTCTTGGTATGTTTGCTGGTTGTAGAAGAGCAGAAGACTTGGGAATCAAAGGAGCACTGATACCTAGCGCACACTTCAAATGGGTGCTTACTGTTTACTAATCACCCAACCCCCCTTTTTAAAAGAATGATCTCTTTTGATACTACTTATTTATTTTACAAAGGTATTATAAAGAGGACTCTGGTCATATCACTTCACTGTGTTCTGTCTGTAATGTTATCGATTCCGCTTTGGACAGATTTTACTTGGAATCACACGATGTCCACTTCTGGGCATCGTAACTGAAGGGAGATGTTGACAGGAGGACAATTAATAATAATAATAATAATAATAATAATAATAATAATAATAATAAGCTGGAATGTGTCCAGAGGAGAACAATTAATAATAATAATAATAATAATAATAACAACAACAATAATATTTATAAATATTTACAATATTTATATTCCGCCCTTCTCACCCCACAGGGGACTCAGGGCGGATCACAATGCACACAGACATGACAAATATTCAATGCCAAAGACACACAACAGATATAGACAGACAGTCAGAGGCTATTTAACTTTTTCTGGCCGCCAGGGGAGCTGTCGCTTTCATCGTCCATCTGCGACACTGATGAAGTACTTCCGCATTCCCCGCATGCTTTGCTGGAGTCTTTTTTATGGCCTCGTAAATTAGTTAAATTAGCCTCCCCACACTTTAAGGTGGTACCTAATTTTCCTACTTGATAGATGCAACTGTCTTTCGGGTTGCAAAGGTCGACAACAAGCTACACAATTGGTCAGAAGCTCACACCTACCCAGGCTGGCTTCGAACTCATGACCTTTTGGTCAGAAGTGATCTTAATGCAGCTGACACTCAGACAGCTGCGCTACAGTCCCAATGATGATTATTATATTAAATATTATTATATTAAAAATAAATAAATAATAAATATGAGGATTTAAAGATTGAACTGGCACAAGCCAGTCAAGGTGGTCTCAGTGGTGATCGGCACACTGGGTGCAGTGCCTAAAGACCTTGGCCTGCACTTAAACACAATTGGCGCTGACAAAATTACCACCTGCCAGCTGCAGAAGGCCACCTTACTGGGATCTGCACGCATTATTCGCCGATACATCACACAGTCCTAGACACTTGGGAAGTGTCCGATGTGTGATCCAATACAACAGCCAGTAGAGTGATCTTGTTTGCTGTGGACTCATCTTGTTGTGTTTCAAATAATAATAATTATTATTTATACCCCACTTCCATTTATTTATACCCCACCTCCATCTCGCCAAGGGGACTCAGGGTAGCTAATATGAGGCCAAGCCCAACAATTACAACAAAGTATTGTCGAAGGCTTTCATGGCTGGAATCACTGGGTTGTTGTAGGTTTTTTTCGGGCTATATGGCCATGTTCTAGAGGCATTCTCTCCTGACGTTTCGCCTGCATCTATGGCAAGCATCCTCAGAGGTAGTGAGGTCCATCAAATGCTAATCAAGGTGGTCAGTTGAAACATTCACCCCCTAGCTCCAGCAGACAAGAGTCCTTTGTCCCACCCTGGTCATTCCACAGATATATAAACCCTTCCTAGTTCCAACAGACCTCACTACCTCTGAGGATGCTTGCCATAGATGCAGGCAAAACGTCAGGAGAGAATGCCTCTAGAACATGGCCATATAGCCCGAAAAAACGTACAACAACCCAGTGATTCCAGCCATGAAAGCCTTCGATAATACATCAAATAAAATGCAACAAAATAAATTTTAAAAATGGTACAAGGTGCAAACACAGTATAAGGTAGATAACAAAAAATTGAACCAAGTGGGCATTCTCTCCTGATGTTTCGCCTGCATCTGTGGCAAGCATCCTCTGAGGATGCTTGCCACAGATGCAGGCGAAACATCAGGAGAGAATGCTTCTAGAACATGGCCATACAGCCCGAAAAAACCTACAATAACCCAAGGTGAGCAAATATTGGGAGGTCAGAGAAGTCATCTAGGTAAGCGACACTCACATTTTGAATACAAATCAGCCACAAATGCATCATGGTAGAAACCAAAAATTGTGTCTGGGATTAGCCTGCATTTTCAGCTCTTTTTCTGGAGGCTATTGTAAACAGAATGAGATTGTCACAGGTAAGGAGAATAAATCACTTTTGCTTTGGTAGTACTTTTGGCAATTTAAGAGCAATCACTTCTTTGGCTGAAAGCTTAAAGGGAGGTGGGGTCCACAGGGCTTTGAGAAGCATTGGGAAATGCCCACGAGGGATTGTGGACCATCCCCAGCCGAGCTGCAAGGCACATTTTGGAGCCGGCACCGCTTCCTTCCTGACCTAGTTCCGAGATTATCTAACCAGAGACCTGAAGCTCTGCAGGGAAGGGAGCTGGGTGCCAAGGCAGGGCTGCAGTGCTGCGCGAGGGGAAGTTGCGCTGCATTGAGTCCTTCAATGAGGGGGAGAGAGGGCAGGATATCAAACCAAGCAAGTAAATAAATACACCTTGAGGGATGCCCCTGCGCCTGTAGGAGATAGGGCAGCCGCAATGTGGTTTGTGGATTTGTTTTTACTTTTTGCAGATTTGATTATTCATAGGTTTTGTTTAAATCAAACTTCCTGAGGCCTTATAGTTGGTCGGTGCTGTGTGTTTGGGATTGGTGGTCCCACTGATTTAGTGCATTGCTGTACAATGCTGTCGCTCACAAATAAGAGGTCTGGGTTATAACCTCGGTGCCATCTCCTGCTGTTGTAGGATGGTGGGAGCTTACTATCATGAATGAGTGATAGTTTGTGCAGTTCAGACCAGGAGAGGACAGCTGAGCATGCATGCCCAGTGTGGAACACATCTCACCACGCTACAAGAAGCACTGCCTGAACATCAAGCAAAAGGTGGGTGCTAGAAACAATATCATACAAAAGCTGACTGGCACAACCTGGGGATCACAACCAGATACAGTGAAGACATCTGCCCTTGCGCTGTGCTACTCTGCTGCTGAGTATGCATGCCCAGTGTGGAACACATCTCACCACACTAAAACAGTGGATGTGGCTCTTAATGAGACATGCCGCATTATCACGGGGTGTCTGCGCCCTACACCACTGGAGAAATTACACTGCTTAGCCGGTATTGCACCACCTGACATCCGCCGGGAAGTAGCAGCCAATACTGAAAGGACCAAGGCAGAGACATCTCCAGCTCCAGTAGGCTGTTAGGAATTGTGGGAGTTGCAGTCCAAAACACCTGGAGGGAGGACCCAAGTTGGCCCAGGCCTGCTATAGAAACAGCCTCCAACGAGACTTCATATCTTGACTTGGAAACCCATCCAGTCTCCAGATCAACCGGTGTGGTCATTTGGTTGTGAGTTTCTCCATCCACAGGAGGGCAATAGAAGACCATTTTCCAGAGAAAGGAGCTAGATCTAATATGCAAAAAAAATTGGTGTCAGTTCCACTCCTGAACATGAACCAATGCATTCAAATAACAAGAAAAGATGGTCCACCCTCTGAACATTAGAAGAACTTCTTGGCTCCAAGTGCTTCTCAACAGTGGACTTCCTTGGCGGGTGGCTGGCTTTCCTTCGGAGACTTTGACAAAGTAGCT